CTAAAAACGTTAACTTTCATCTCGGTTTTAAGGTCCTGTACATGGGTAAGGACATACGAGGCTGGCCGATTTGTCTTTTTTGCACTGGTAATTTTGTTGATGAATATCATATTGGAGAGATTTTTGGCAAGTCTATGAAACAACTCATTGAGGTCTGTGGTTTGATCCCCGGTACAAGTGGAAACATTAAGACACGTCTCCTTAAGACACCTGCTGTCCCTGTTAACCCAGCAGTAAATAGGTACCTGGGTGTTAGCCGACTGGTGTGGATCGCATCCTGGGGGACAAAATTAGCCTAATTTTCCCAAAATGTTCTGCATAACAAGGGGCTCTCTATGTAGCATGTCACTGATGTCAGCTAGGTCTGTATACAATGTACATGTTTACCTGGAGAGAGTTCCGGGGGTCAACGCCCCCACGGCCTGGGTGTACTTGTAAAAATAAATTATTACTGCTCGTGGTGCGATGCTTGGTATTCTTGTTTCCAGTAAAGCTCCCTTTCATTATCAGATGGTTTGTTAGATACAGTGCAGTTGATTTTTGCAACAACTTGAGATGCAGCTGTTTGGATATTGTGTGAATTCCCTCAAAGCCTTATATTCCTGCTGTCTCACATGGTCTTTTTTCCATGTAAGCCCTTTCCTGCCATTTCTCTTATTATTTATTCCACGACTTAAGTTTTAAATGTCAATACTATTCAGTGCCTTTCATACATGTAACATGCATTATAGAACAGATAGTTTTGTAGAATGAATTTTTAAGTTGGAAGTATGACGGAACCTAAGTAGTAGGTTGGTAAACAGCAACCGCCCAGAGAGGTACTACCGTCCTTCCAAGTGAGTGTACAACGAAAACCTGTAATTGTTTTACATGATGGTAGGATTGCTGGTGTCTTTTGTCTGTCTCATAAACATGAAAGATTTCAGGTATATCTTGCTACTTCTACTTGCACTTAGGTCACACTACACATACATGTTCAAGCATATATATGCACACCCCTCTGGGTATTCTTCTATTTTCTTTCTAGTTCTTGTTCTTGTTTATTTCCTTTTATCTCCATGGGGAAGTGGAACAGAATTCTTCCTCCGTAAGCCATGCATGTTGTAAGAGGCGACTAAAATGCCGAGAGCAAGGGGCTAGTAACCCCTTCTCCCGTATAAATTACTAAATTTAAGAGAGAAACTTTCGTTTTTCTTTTTGGGCCACCCTGCCTTGGTGGGATACGGCCGGTGTGTTGAAAGAAAGAAGAAGTATGACAGAAATCCCACCTACTCCCAAAGTAGCAAATTTTTGTTTTTAATATCATACTGACTATTCACACATTTTCCAGGGTGTGGACAATTTCATTTATTCCCATACATGTATACATCATTTTTTGGCAGTCTACTGTAAACTCCAAAAAAGTCAACACCTAAAACAGAAGACACTGAAATATCTGAAGAAATGGTCAAAAGAGCTATTAACAGACATAGAAAGAAAAAGGGAGGACCAGGGGAGACAGCACCAAGGACCTTAACAAATATGTGCAGACAAGCTAAACTAACCTCTATGAAAAATCAATGGGACATCACTAGAGGGGTAAACTGTTGTACAAATGAATAACAGCACACATCATACCCTGAACTGCAGATCTGTCACTAATAAATGTTTGGTAAAATTACAGAAGGAAAAAAAAAAGCCATCAGAGAAAAATTAAAAAAATACTGTTGGCAAAAAATCTGGTTTTTCAGTTAGCAAATTACTGTACAGCACAAAAAAACTATCAAGCATACAAGAGTCACAGAAATTATTCGATGATGAGATGGATGGGTGGCTAGCAATTAGAGTCCAAGCCCCCAAATTTGCTGAAGTTATGTTTCTCGAGGTAACAAATCCATAATCTGTAAATCAAAACTATGTCTGCAAAATACATGGTTTTTTAGCTTTGGGCTCAGTGCATGTTTCAAGGGCCATCTTTGTATAAATACTGCTCTAATCTTCCTAATATTGACATTAATAAGAATGGCCAGAAATAACACACACTTGGAGACTGGAAAGCCATTGAGCACATTTGCAATAAAATCCCATTAACAATTTAAAAAAAAAAAAAAGGGAATTCAGAAAAATCTCACAAATCACTAAAGCTATTTGAGGGAGGCCCTTCACTAACAGTTAGTAATCAAAACAAGTGAACTCGTAATCTTGTTAATTAGGAAGCTCATAAATTATGAATCTTGCAAATCAGAAAGCTCACAAACTGGGAAACTTGTAAAGGTTCAGATTAATTTTTGAGTTGTGTAGCTGCTAATTCAGCATTTTTGTTGAAAAAACTGGGCTATTAATATCCATGCGTTGACTTGAATGCCTCTTCTAATCGACTTCAAATCTTAAACATTGACATTAGAAAATTATGCCGCACACTGTACTACTATTTTTGCATGCATTGAGGTACAGCGAAGATCAGGTTATAGGATATACCTTTCTTGGATCGCTCAGCAACCAAAACAAGTACTGTATAGTTTACTCTCCTCTTGCCCTTCCTCATGACTTATTTAACCTATTTCTCTCCACATACTCCTCTTTCTAATTTTTTTTCTCTTAATGTTCTTTTATCTCATCTTTCCCCACTCATTCTTCTTCCTGCATTTACCATTCTTGTGTTGAACACTAACACTGCATTCTTAAATCCACACCATAACTTCTAGGCCTAACCTGAGTGCTTATCTACTCATGAGGTCAGAAATTATGAGAAGATAAGAATAGATGAGTGTGTTAGTGGTGAGAAAGACTTGGGTAATAGAAATATATTAAATATCACTGGTTCCAATGATCACATTGGTCTCCGATGTCCTCAGATAATTCAAATACAAATGAAGCATTTAAATTAAATATGTAAGAAGGTTTAAAAACTCTAGGGAAGGCATAGTTCTGCAGAGTAACAGAGCCAAAAAAAAGGAAATTTATTACCACTGATACTTCTACAGGGATTAGAGGTCAATGATGTCAAATAAGGTATTGATTAATAGTGTTTTTCCACACAAGATGGCTGCATAGAAGACCTTGGCACTAGTCTAGGATTGGCAATAAAAATAGTGTGAGACAGTCTATGCGAAATAAATACAGGAGATGGTGATTATTATAATTAGGGAAAAGACTAAACCCATAAGAGTCATACAGCACATTTCAGAATGGGAGACAATCAGGTTTGAAATGGAGAAAAGAAGTACAGGTCCACTTCCATGAGCCAAGTGCTCCTGTTATCTGTTCTGTTAGCACCAGCACCTTGAAGTGCACAGTTGGTGATAAATGCTGTACAATATGTGGTGGTGTTTTAAAGTACATACATGGTGGAGGGGCAGATCACAGGAAAATAGATATGTGTGACATATTTTGCTCTGCTAAAACACAAGGGGGCAATCAATATATACACTCAATAATGATTAATTACGTGCAGCAGTAAAGCTTGAGAAAATGGAAATGTACGTCTGACTTGAGAGATGAGTTTAGTATATGAATGACAAACAATTTGTTGGTCTACACTGTGTTCATTTCAACTCAAGTGTGTGTTGAGGGTACACATGACTGAATAAACAACTACTTTCGTACTTGCTCCAATCCTTTTCTTATAAAAACGGAGGCAGAGGTAAAAAACATAATACTATACAAGAGAAGAAATATAACAAAATAGTTGCTAATTAAACCCTTATTGTTTCCAAGTATTATTAATTTGCTATAATGGTAATTAAATAATGTACATCAAGCAAAGCTAATGAGACTTCAACATCTGATGGAAACAACCAGTGACCTAACTGTTGATGAGTCTGCAGGCGTCATTGTGCTATGTATGTGGGAAAAAGGTTTAGATAATAAATTAAAATAAATTTGTCAAAATCTTATGTTGGCTTAATACTTCCATATAGCAAACTGTTTACATATAAAAGATTGTTACACAAACTTTACTGTATAATTTAAAGAAAATATGATCTTTTCAATAATGAGGTGCAATGGCAGTTACAGATTTTTAGTACATTCATTTATGTAATTATGCAAATATGACTGGTGTGTTACAATACTTGCACCTTGATTACTGGTAGCCAGTGGGAAGGGTTTTTCCACAAAAAAAAAAAAAGCCACATGAATCTGAATACCAACAAAACAATGAAGCTAATAATTATTTACATCAGCAATCAGAAAGCATAAAAAAATAATATGATCAAAATTTAATGAGCCAGTTCTCTCTCCCACCCAGCTGAACTTGCACACTCAAGCATCTTACCCAGGATGGAATGCCAAGAGGGGACCCGCACTCGACCCGTAACAGGGTCTCGGGGGGAGGGGAAATGGAGGTACCGAGTTGCATGAAATAGTTCACAACCATCAGTAAAGAAAAAAAGACATAGGAAAGCTAACTCTTCTTATCAACTAATTACACCTAAAAACAAATCAATGAAACACTGCTCTAAATATCCAACATACAAATTATAAAGGCACCAGAACATTCTAGATTTTAGCTTACAGCATGCGTCAACTGTGATAGCTAGCATAATTATGGAGACATCTACATTATTATTACTCATAATTGTAATATCAACATCGAATCCATATCTCAAGGAAAACTAATATTTAACATTAGCAAATCAATGAACTAATTATTATCTACTTTACAAGTAAACCATCAACAAACTTTAAATTTTTTTATTTTAAGAGTCCCTAAGAAAAATATACAGCAATCCTCAACTAGCCTTTATCTATGTAAAAGAAATACAATATTAAATTCCAATCATATAATTCTGTAAAACAAAATGAAAAAGTTGGAAACCAAAAAAAAAAATATACCCCCATAATACAATGACATACATGCTTCGTGCACAAGTACAGTACATCAAAATACATAACTGAAAAGTAACACCTTTTCCGAGAGTTATGTTAAATTCAATTTTTTTATCCTCTGAATAAATACAAAACAGATAATCCCAGTTACTCAAATAGAAAAAGAATTACAAATCTCAATTTATTTATACCTTCTGCCTCACCTTCTACGTCCCCCTGTTGACTCTCTGTTTCGTAGAGGAGTATTTTTTTCATTTTTCTGTAGTTCAGGTTGTCAAACTCCCGAACAGCTTTCTTGGTACGAGCAATTAGATCCAAGATAATATGAGGTGAACGATGTCTTAAGATGAACTCATGCTGCAGAGAAACATACAGTAACCATAATACAGTATGATGTGTTGTCAAAGAATTAAATACATTTATTAAAATCTAATAATTATCAGCATTTATAATGAATCAAAGTTACCAATTATAATCATTGCAGGTCGGCCATCACTAATCTGGCAATCAGTTATCCGGTTCCATCAGTAATCTGGCACTAATTTTGGCTAGCATAATTTCAAATTTCATCATTATACTGACTCAGAAATTGTGCAATGCTTGTTGTTGAGGGAAAGAATTGGTGAAGGTGGGGGCTTGATGCTGGGTGAAGGTGTTGGTCCACAGCTATCCCGCCCTCCGTCAAATGGGCAGAGTTTGAGGGCACCTGTGATGGGATGGGTGAGGGCATGGGTAAAGGAAGGTGAGGAGCATGGGTGAATGAGGGTGAGGGGATGGGTGAAGATATGTAAGGGTCAGAACATATGGGCAGAGGGGTGTGAAAAAATAGGTGCTGGTGATTGGGCATGGCAGATGAAGGTTAGAGCACCTGGCAGTGAGGCTACACTTTAAGTTTCAGAGCTCCTTAACACTTTAAGGGTCCATCCCATAGCTCCACGACTTGCCCAAAGGGTGTAAGAATTTTCAAAATAATTTTATTTTTTCTTGTGAAATGGTAGAGAATCTTTTTTCTGAAGGAAATAAAACAAAGCAGGAAATCTGCTGGAAAATTGACGAAATTATGCTACAATGAATTTTGCTGCGTCAGCAATATTTACGCATCAGTGATTTTGCCCACTTTGACTCCTATTTTAGGCCAATTACACAATTCCAGTTCGCTATTTTTTTTTTTTTACACGGTCGTTTCCCACAGAGACAGGGTGACCCAAAAAGAGAAAACACTTTCATCATTCAACACTTTCACCATCATTCATACATAATCACCATCTTTGCAGAGGCACTCAGATACAACAGTTTAGACATCCCCCCCAGCTGCCAATATCTAAAACCCCTCCTTTAAAGTGTAGGCATTGTACTTCCCACTCCCAGGACTCAAGTCCAGCTAACCGGCTTCCCTGAATCCCTTCACAAAATATTACCCTGCTCACACTAACAGCTTGTCAAAACCATTCATCTCCATTCACTCCTACCTAACACGCTCACGCATGCTTGCTGGAAGTCTAAGCCCCTCGCCCACAAAACTTCCTTTACCCATTCTAAATGACCAAACCACCTCACCAGCCCCTCTTCAGCCCTTTGACTAATACTTTTATCAACTCCACACCACCTCCTAATTATTAATATTAATATTATCACACTGGCCAATTCCTACCAAGGAAGGGTGGCCCGAAAAAGAAAAACTTTCACCATCATTCACTCCATCACTGTCTTGCCAGAAGGGTGCTTTACACTACAGTTTTTAAACTGCAACATTAACACCCCTCCTTCAGAGTGCAGGCACTGTACTTCCCATCACCAGGACTGAAGTCCGGCCTGCCGGTTTCCCTGAACCCCTTCATAAATGTTACTTTGCTCACACTCCAACAGCACGTCAAGTATTATAAACCATTTGTCTCCATTCACTCCTATCAAACACGCTCACGCATGCCTGCTGGAAGTCCAAGCCCCTCGCACACAAAACCTCCTTTACCCCCTCCCTCCAACCTTTCCTAGGCCGACCCCTACCCCGCCTTCCTTCCACTACAGACTGATACACTCTTGAAGTCATTCTGTTTCGCTCCATTCTCTCTACATGTCCGAACCACCTCAACAACCCTTCCTCAGCCCTCTGGACAACAGTTTTGGTAATTCCGCACCTCCTCCTAACTTTCAAACTACGAATTCTCTGCATTATATTCACACCACACATTGCCCTCAGACATGACATCTCCACTGCCTCCAGCCTTCTCCTCGCTGCAACATTCATCACCCATGCTTAACACCCATGTAAGAGCGTCGGTAAAACTATACTCTCATACATTCCCCTCTTTGCCTCCAAGGACAAAGTTCTTTGTCTCCACAGACTCCTAAGTGCACCACTCATCCTTTTCCCCTCATCAATTCTATGATTCACCTCGTCTTTCATAGACCCATCCGCTGACACGTCCACTCCCAAATATCTGAATACATTCACCTCCTCCATACTCTCTCCTTCCAATCTGATATCCAATCTTTCATCACCTAATCTTTTTGTTATCCTCATAACCTTGCTCTTTCCTGTATTCATTTTTAATTTTCTTCTCTTGCAATTTTTTTTTCAACAAGTCGGCCGTCTCCCAAAAGAAAATGCTTTCATCATCGTTCAACACTTTCACCACACTCACACATAATCACTGTTTTTGCAGAGGTGCTCAGAATACAACAGTTTAGAAGCATATACCTATAAAGATACACAACATATCCCTCCAAACTGCCAATATCCCAAACTCCTCCTTTGAAGTGCAGGCATTGTACTTCCCATTTCCAGGACTCAAGTCCGACTATATGAAAATAACCGGTTTCCCTGAATCCCTTCACTAAATATTACCCTGTTCACACTCCAACAGATCGTCAGGTCCCAAGTACCATTCGTCTCCATTCACTCCTATCTAACACGCTCACGCACGCTTGCTGGAAGTCCAAGCCCCTTGCCCACAAAACTTCCTTTACCCCCTCTCTCCAACCCTTTCGGGGATGACCCCTACCTCACCTTCCTTCCCCTATAGATTTATATGCTTTCCATGTCATTCTACTTTGATCAATTCTCTCTAAATGACCAAACCACCTCAACAACCCCTCTTCTGCCCTCTGACTAATACTTTTATTAACTCCACACCTTTTCCTAATTTCCACACTCCGAATTTTCTGCATAATATTTACACCACACATTGCCCTTAGACAGGACATCTCCACTGCCTCCAACCGTCTCCTCGCTGCTGCATTTACCACCCAAGCTTCACACCCATATAAGTGTGTTGGTACTACTATACTTTCATACATTCCCTTCTTTGCCTCAATAGATAACGTTTTTTGACTCCACATATACCTCAATGCACCACTCACCTTTTTTCCCTCATCAATTCTATGATTAACCTCATCCTTCATAGATCCATCCGCCGACACGTCAACTCCCAAGTATCTGAAAACATTCACTTCTTCCATACTCCTCCCCAATTTGATATCCAATTTTTCTTTATCTAAATCATTTGATACCCTCATCACCTTACTCTTTTCTATGTTCACTTTCAACTTTCTACCTTTACACACATTCCCAAACTCATCCACTAACCTTTGCAATTTTTCTTTAGAATCTCCCATAAGCACAGTATCATCAGCAAAAAGTAACTGTGTTAATTCCCATTTTGAATTTGATTTCCCATAATTTAATCCCACCCCTCTCCTGAACACCCTAGCATTTACTTCTTTACAACCCCATCTATAAATATATTAAACAACCATGGTGACATTACACATCCCTGTCTAAGACCTACTTTTACCAGGAAGTATTCTCCCTCTCTTCTACACACCCTAACCTGAGCCTCACTATCCTCATAAAAACTCTTTACAGCATTTAGTAACTTACCACCTATTCCATATACTTGCAACATCTGACACATTGCTCCTCTATCCACTCTATCATATGCCTTTTCTCAATCCATAAATGCAATAAAAACTTCCCTACGTTTCACATATTTGCTTCAATGTAAACACTTGATCTACACATCCCCTACCCACTCTGAAACTTCCTTGCTCATCCGCAATCCTACATTCTGTCTTACCTCTAATTCTTTCAATTATAACCCTACCGTACACTTTTCCTGGTATACTCAATAAACTTATTCCTCTACAATTTTACATCTCTTTTGTCCCCCTTCCCTTTATATAAAGGGACTATACATGCTCTCTGCCAATCCCTAGGTACCTTCCCCTCTTTCATACATTTATTAAACAAAAGTACCAACCACTCCAACACTATATCCCCCCCTGCTTTTAACATTTCTGTCATGATCCCATCAGTTCCAGCTGCTTTACCCCCTTTCATTCTACGTAATGCCTCGCGTACCTCCACCACACTTACATTCTGCTCTTCTTCACTCCTAAAAGATGGTATACCTCCCTGACCAGTGCATGAAATTACCACCTCCCTTTCTTCCTCAACATTTAAAAGTTCCTCAAAATATTCTCGCCATCTATCTAATACCTCCCTCTCCCTATCTACTAACTCCCCTACCCTGTTTTTAACTGACAAATCCATACTTTCCCTAGGCTTTCTTAACTTGTTGAACTCCAAAATTTTTCTTATTTTCATTAAAATTTCTTGACAGTGCCTCTCCCACTCTATCATCTGATCTCCTTTTGCACTCTCTCACCACTCTCTTCACCTTTCTTTTACTCTCCATATACTCTGCTTTTCTTATAACACTTCTGCTTTGTAAAAACCTCTCATAAGCTAACTTTTTCTCTTTTATCACACCCTTTACTTCATCATTCCACCAATCACTCCTCTTTCCACCTGCCCCCACCCTCCTATAACCACAAACTTCTGCCCCACATTCTAATACTGCATTTTTAAAACTATTCCAACCCTCTTCAACCCCCCCACTACTCATCTTTGCACTAGCCCACCTTTCTGCCAACAGTCGCTTATATCTCCCCCGAACTTCCTCCTCCCTTAGTTTATGCACTTTCACCTCCCTCTTACTTGTTGCCACCTTCCTCTTTTCCCATCTACCTCTTACTCTAACTGTAGCTACAACTAAATAATGATCCGATCTTTTGCATACCCTACCAAATTCATCCACCAATCTCTGCAACTTCTCTTCAGAATCTCCCAAGAGCACATTGTCATCAGCAAAGAGCAACTGTGACAACTCCCATACCTCCTATACCATACACCTGCAACATCTGCCACATTGCCCCCCTATCCACCCTGTCATACGCCTTTTCCAAATCCATAAATGCCCCAAAGACATCTTTAGCCTTATCTAAATACTGTTCACTTATATGTTTCACTGTAAACACCTGGTCCACACACCCCCTACCTTTCGTAAAGCCTCCTT